CAGAGGGACATGAAAGGACAGTGATTTGATGATGTAGAAGAGGTGAAAAAAAACCCAAAAAAACGAGGGAGGTGCTGTCAGCTATCCAAACAGATGAATTTGAAAAATGTTTTCAAGAATGGAAGCTCAGATTTGACAAATGTATTAAGTGTAGTGGAGACTACTTTGAAGGTAATAAGGTTGTTTTGTTTTGTTTTTTAAAATCAATTAAATACATTGCTTTTGGGGGGAAATCCATTATCTGGGGAGGTTCTCCCTCATACCTTCGGCTGCTATATGCAAGGTGGGCAGTTCAAAACCACCAGCTTTTCTGCAGGAGAAAGTTAAGGCTTTCTACTCTTGTAAAGATTTACAATCTCAGAAACCCACAGGAGCAATTCTACTCTGTCCTATATGGTAGCTATGCATCAGTGTATAGCAGAAGTTAAAAATATCTTCAGCCTGCGAGTGTAGTCTCAGGCTCATGCCTATTTGTAAAATAGTTGTTTTATAGCGAGAGGCCCCTGAGTAGTGTCAACCGCTAACGAGAGCTCAGCTGATAATGGAAAGACTGGAGGTTCAAGCCCACCCAGAGTCATCTCCACAGGATGGCCCCACCATGGAGAACCCTAGGGAACACCCTTCTGAGGCACCTGGGGGGGCCTGGAGGCAGACTGCACTCCTGGCAGCTGGTTGCTGTGTCTTGCTGGGTTTGCAATGTGCTGGAGCCTCCAGTGAGGGATGAGGAGAGCATGCTCGAGAAAAAGTCAGCAGAAGGAAGGAAGGACACCCAGACTGGGTTTCCTTAGCTCCTAGAGCCTTGTCTCCCACCAGAACATTCCGAGGGAGCCCCAGGCCACCCTGACCTGCGGACACCCTTCTCTGAGTCCGCGTGCAGCTCTACCTTCTTGGATAAGCAGGCAGCCCAGGAGCTGTGCACAGGGGGCCACTTGAAAGAGGAAGCTGCTCTCCTCTGCACCTCACCCCCCATGGAATTGCAGGCAGCATTGCTTCCCTTCCCACGCCCAGCGATGCCCCGAAACCTCAACAAGGTCTGCCCTCTCCTTAAGAAAATCCTTCACCATGGTACAGCACCGGTTGCCCACGATCAAATGTTCTTTTCTTTCTGTGCTTTGAGGGGTGGGGCCCCTGGCTTCACCTCTTTGGACCGGTTTCCTCTTGCTGGTAAATTTTCTCCCTGTGCTTGTAGTCCAAGGCTTCTCACCCCGGGATTGAGCCTGTGATGTGCCTGTCCCCACCCCCCACCCCCACCCTCACCCCCGAGGAGTTGCCTCCAGGACCCAGCATACCTCTCAGGCAAGCCTCTGGGGTCAGGATCCTTGAACAGCTTGGGCTGATTCCCAACCCACTGGGTGGACTCATCCCACGCACCTGACCACCACTGTGTGCGCGGCCTCATTCACGGGATGGGAGACTCAGCTGCTAAGCCAAAGTGGGCGGTTCGACTTCCCCCAGAGGCGCCTCCCTTACAAGATAGGCCTGGTGATCTTCCGAAAGATCTCCCCAGCCCTTACCACCCCTTGCCAAGTGGCTGCGGACTCCCAGCAGCCCTGTCGGTCAGGGTAGAGCTGGCCCTGAAGGTTTCTGGGCGGCAGATCTGTACTGAAGCAGACTGCCCCACCTCTCTCACCTGGGGCAGCTGGGGGTTCAAACCACAGCCTCTTGGTTCACAGGTGGGGGCTTAACCCTTTGTGCCACAAGATCAGTTGTTGAAAGCTCTGTGGAGTGTGGTTCTCTTCGGAAACGCAGGACAGGGGTCAACAGGTGAGGTTGGATGACTCAATAGCCACAGATTGCTTTATACTTGTATTTATATGGTATGATTTTTAGATTGTATTTATATGATAACCATGTGTCCCATCTCTTTATATTATGAATGTCAGACCACACCTCTTTTTAAAACTGAAAGCTCTCACAGTATGTATTTTCAAAACATAAACCCACTCACACAGTTTCATGAAAAAGAACATGTGACCAACAAAAAAGTTTCATGTCAGAAATAGCCGTAGTGGTTACACATCGAGCGGCTAACTGCAAGGTCAACAGTTCGAAACCACCAGTCGCTTCGTGGGAGAAAGGCGAGGCTTCCTACTCCCATGAAGAGTTACAGTCTCAGAAACTCACAGGGGCAGTCTACCCTGCCCCACGGGGTTGCCATGAGTCGGAATGGACCCGGTGGCAGGAAGTTTGGTTTGGTTTGCTTTTGGCATCCTGACAGTGAGTATGACCAAGACAGGCTCAGCTACGAAACCAAACCACCCCAAACCCACGGCCTTCACGTCGACTCCGCAGCAACCCTAGAGGGCCGAGGAACTGCGCCCTGGGGCTTCCTGGGTGGCACATCTTCCTGGGAAGAGAAAGCCTCACTTTCTCCTGCAGAGCAGCTGGTGGGTATGAACTGCTGACCTTAAGGTTCTCAGCCCAGTGCCCAACAAGACTCCCTCTACCAGGGCCCCAAGGGTAAGGTCTTGGAGATGAACACTTTTGTGAGATTCCTGCTCTGTTCCAGGCACTATCGTTGTGTTTAATGACTCTTACTCAGTCTATCTTCACCCACACATTGTTAGGAAGCTATTTTGACCTTCCTGTTAAAGATAAGGAAGTCCAAGGGTTAAGCATTTGGGCTTTGTGGGCCGTCTCCCCACCTGTGGAGAGGACAATGATTTGAATGCAGGTCAAGTTCATGTCAGAGTCCTGGGGTACTGCAAACGGTCAGCACATTTGTCTGTGAAGCAAAATGCTGGGGGTTCAATTCCACCAGCAAATCCCTCTGAAGAAAGGCTTGGTGATTTATCTCTGAAAACCCCTATTGAGCACAGTTCTACTAACACACATGGGGTCACCATGAGACAGAGCCCACTCCCTGCTAATTGGTTTTGATGAACACACAGACCTCAGCACCAGGCCGCACTGCCTTCTCAGCTGGGAGTCAGTTTATAATTAGTGATTATTAAGGAGTAGCTATGTTCCCATCCCCTCTGAATAGCCAAGGCTCGCTCAGTTTCTAATCGGAGTGCAAAGGGCAAAAACTAGAAGCGGCTTGATCTTTGTGTGTATGTCCATTGTCTGACCATGGAGAGTTGTGGGAGGTCAAGGCTGATGTGCTTTTGCTGTGTGGACCCCAGACTCTCCCTCCTCCATCGCAGTGCTCGGGGCGTTGTCATAGAGCATGGTTCATGCAGCTCACCAGTTGAACCCCTGGTCTCCAAGTCCGTGTGTATTCAACGTGGTGTGTTTCTCCACAGAGGTTCCCCTGGATGAGTGCGCCTATTCAGGTTGGACTGGTTGGCTTCTGGTGAGTAGGGTGACCTTCATTGCATGAATTGATTTTTAAAAAAATCATTGTATTAAGGGCTCATACAACTCTTATCATAATCCATACATACATCAATTGTGTAAAGCACATTTGTACATTCATTGCCTTCATCATTCTCAAGACGTTTGCTCCCCACTTAAGGCCCTGGCATCAGCTCCCTCCCCACCTCACGAACCTTTGATAATTTATAAATTATTATCTTGTCATATCTGACACTGTCCGACGTGTCCCTTCACCCACTTTTCTGTTGTCCATCCCCCAGGGAGGAGGTTATATGTAGATCCTTGTAATCAGTTCCCACTTTCTACCCCACCCTCCCTCCACCCTTCTGAATTGACTTTTTTTAAAGATAGCTATCCAGCCTCAGGGCAGGCAATATGGGGCACATGTTTTGAAGATGAGACCAGGCCAGGACAATTTGGAAGCAGGGCCCCAGTAACTAGGGAGGAGTGCTGTGTCTTGGAGAGCATGCATGGTGCAGCAGTAGAGCGCTCATGTTCCGTGAGCAAGAACGAGAGCTGTCTCAGTCCCTGGCCATTGTGCCTCATGCACAGGTGGCCCTGTCTGTTGGTGGGGGCTTGTACTCCAATCACTATGATGCTGAACAGGTTAGGTGTCCAAGGAGCTTCCAAAGATGGACTCGGAAGAAAAGCCTGGTGATCTACTTCCAAGACTCAGCCAGTGAAAATCCCATGGCTCACACTGGCCCCATCTGGAGGGGGCCGTGGGCCTCGTGCAGGACCCAGCAACCCTTGTTTCCACTGGCCACAGGATCCCCACAAATCCGGGGCCAGCCCGACAGCAGCTAACAAAAGCAGCCTGTCCTCGGGGAAAATGTGCAAGAGTTGAGCTTCTTATTTCTGAGGAGCTTTTAACAAAACTCTTCCCTTGATAATTGTTGGTGTGTGTGTGTGTGTGTGTGTGTGTGTGTGTGTGTGTGTGTGTGTGTTTTCTCTCGTTATTTTGAATATCCTAGGTAATAAGATGACACAAACAGGACATGATTGTGGGAGGCAATATAAAGTCGTGGAAGAAAGGGGATTGTTGCATTCATAAAATGAAAACAATAAATCTGAAAGGCCAGCCATTTATAGGATGCACTAACTCATCTTTTATGTGTTTTTTCTAGTTTGGTGTTTGCTACGCCCCTCTGCTGTGCTCTCTTCCCTCAGAAAAGGTATGTGCACATTACTCTTCCAAGTCAGTCAAAGAGGCGGGGGCTGTTATTTCATGTCACTGGTAGGGAACTTGAGGCAGAAAAAGATCAGGGAAGCCAAGAGCTCACTGGGACACGGAGTCATCCCATAGGACAGACGGAACCTGCCCCGTAGGATTTCCAAGGCAGTAACTCTTCACAGAAGCAGACTGCCACCATTACCACCACCACCACCCACCCCCACCCACCACCACCCCTGTGCAGCAGCCGGTGGGTCTGTGGTTCACAAGCCAATGCTTAACCATGAGGATCCTTTATGAAGCCCCCACCTGACACCCCCTCCCTGCCCAAGCTCCAAACCCACTGCCATCCAGCCAAGTGAACTCCAACCCATCATGTTCACTGTCTGAGGCTGTCAATCATTACGGAAGCAGCCAGCCTCATCTTTTCTCCTCAGAGCTGCTGCTGGGTTTGAACATCCAATAGAGAGAGGCTATCTAATCGTAACACTTCTTACCAGGTATTTTGTACTGTTAAATTGTTTTACTGATATATGTGAAAATGCTTTAGTCTTTACTAAGAGTCAATGTTAACTTTGGTCCAAGGTTGCTCTTATAAAAATTAAAATAGCACATTTCCCTCCAATCCCTTGGGGAATGCACCTCTAATTCAGATACGTTAGAATTTTAAGTTTCACCCTCAGGGGCGGCAATGATTGGCACTTAGCTTGGGTTGTTGGTATGTTTGCTTCCCTTCTTCCTGCTTGGTTTTTAGTCTTAAAAGCCTTGATCTGCACGTGCCTTTTACCACAAGCTGCCCTCGAGTCCCGCTTCTGCTGCGAGAATTGGACTGGCAGGCATTCGATCAGCATTGTGCAGATCTAGGGCAGCGGCTTCCGCCTCATCTGGCGTGAAGGCACAAAGCAGAAGTGGCAGCTTCTCAGCCCAATGCATAGTCACTATGTCACCAGGCCTCCTACAGCAGTGGGTTTTTATTTTTGAATAAGTAGACCCTAGGTGGTTCAAGGAGCCCTGGTGGCACAGTGGTTAAGAACTTGACCGCTAGTTGAAAGTTAGCGGTTCAAATCCATCAGCCACTTTGCAGGAGAAAGATGTGGCAGCCTGTCTTTGTAAATAAAGCCTTGGAACCTTATGGCAGTGGTATTCTGTCCTGGAAGTTGGAATTGACTCAGTGGCAATGGGTTGTTTTAGTTTGGGATCACCAGCTCTCTCTTCCAAGCCACATCTGGGCCTGGGGGTGGTTCAAGTGCCCACTTTGGGGTGAGCCAAGCACCTGGCCATTTGCATGACGTAGGTCTCCGGTCAAATGAGCAAGGCCATGAGCACAGCTATCGTCAAGTGCACTGGGTGTCAGTCAAGGTAGTTAAGAGTCAACACAAGGGATGTACAGGCAGCATCAATGACTCTGGCTTGGCTGCTCACCAAAAGTTGGAGGGTCTAATCCACCCAGAAACACCTTGGAAGAGAGGCCTGGGCATTTCCTTCCCAGAGGTCCAGGTGATGGAACCCTTACTGAGCTCTGGGTACCTGACACACTTGACTGGTCAACTGTGTCCCAGTCAATTCAAGGGCAACTGGGCTGGCTCCCAAATGAATTGGAATTTCAGGGAAAGAATCCTTCAGTCACCTGTTCTCGAAGCCCATCTGGAAAGTCGAAGAATCGTAGCACAGATTCCAGAAATCCAAGGCTTCTTAGCCCAAGAAAAGCTTGTTTCTCTAGCACGTGTGGAGCAAACACCAGAGCTCTGTGCCTGACCTTGCACTCTGGGGGTTAGAAATACGGGGTGGGGGTAGGGAGGCTTTAACATATTCAGGGGAAATTTTAATTTCTTTTTCATTCTGTTCTTCCTTGAATTTTTTGAAGCCCCCACAGTGTCTGAAATGCTGAAAAAAGTGCCTGATACAAAGTAAATTCATATTAAATGCAGCTGTGATTGTTTTGAAAGAGATGAGATTAGTCTTGTTTTGTTTTTTGAATTTAGGCTCTTGGAATTTTTGCAAAAACTGTATAGAAAACTCTTCAAACATCTTCTAACCCTAATACAATGATCAAACCTGAAAAATTATTGATGGTAGTACTTTACTTCTGAAAATCCACATATTAGCTCACCACTCATGTTTTGAATTTATTGGAGAAAAATATTTCCTTCTTTTTAGCATTTTTTGGGGGGGAGGAGTTTATTTTAACTCTGGGTATAGAAATGAAAAGTTTCCTGTCACTATAATGTCACTAGGACACAGGTCCTTGAAGACGACATGGTGTTGCATTTGGGAAACCAAGAGTCCCCTTGTTTTCTCGTGTTTAAAAACGAAGCTTATTATTTCCCTTCCCTTCCATTTTTCTCTTTGACTGCTTTCTTTTCTTTCTGTTTTTCTCTGATTCTTTCTTTTTCCTTTGTCCTTACTTTCACCGAACAGAACTAACCATGTTCCTTGGTTTATGACACACTCTAATAAAATAAAATCCTGACCCTGCTTTATTTTATTATATGCCGTATAGCGCTGTGTATAAGCCGAGTTTTTCAGCACATTTTAAATGCAGTTTTTGTTGTAAAATTAGGTGCCTCCGCTGATATTTGGGTCAGCTTATACTCGAGTATAGACGGTAATTTGAAATCTTCTAAAATTGGTTTTGTTTATTTGAATGACAGAGTGATCATCCATGAATCCACTGCCCAAGTCATACCAATAAGTTACCGCTGTTCATGGTGGTCTGCGGGTGAAGCACTGGGCTGCTTACTAACCACAAGGCTGACAGTTCAGACCCACCAGTTACTCCCTGGGAGAAAGATGAGGCTGTCTGCTCCCATGGAGCTTTTCTCTTTCCTCCCGTACATACCGCTCGTCACAGAGCTGCCTTGGTGTCAGTCAGAATTGACTTGGTGGTGGTAAGTGGGGCTGTGGTTCATTTATGTGCTCCTCGTCTATCTCCATGCTTCCTGCACTGCATATTTAACTGGGGACCTGAATCTTAGGTGGATCATGCTTTTTGCATTTTAAAATCTGTCTCACATACAATGGGGCTTCAAAAAGTTCATAGAATGATGGAATGAACATACAATGGAATTTTTCCACACAATCTTTAGCACCCACCACATTTATATGTACATATGGCTAACATGTTTTGGGCTGAATTTTGAAACCTTTTTAGGAAAGAGTGGCATACTACCGTCTATACTCAAGTAAAAGCCGACCCGAATCTTAGCCGAGGCATCTAATTCTACCACCAAAGAATGTATTAAAAATGTGCTGAAAAACCCGACTTATCCATGAGTATATACAGTATATCTGATTTTCTGGCACTCTTGTTTCAGCGTCATAGTCGATGGTCCATCCACATTGTTGTGTGTAGCTACGGTGCACTCCTGTCTTCTGCTCTATAGCATCCATTGCAGGCAGGCTCCACCAGTATGAATGAGTGGTAAAGAAAACACTCAGCAGGATGTCTGGGAAGCAGCTACAGTGTTGCTTCAAGAGACACATTGGTAGCTTTAAATGATTGTAGTAAAAAGGAGGAATGGTGCTGAAATCAGTGCCCTCCGTGTCCAACTTGAGTTACAACAATGACGATAAAAGAAGAAACCTCCGGGGCATGTGGGAAGCAAAACGATGGAGAGAGAAAGATAAGAGCAAAATAAATCAATGATGTAATACAGTAAAGAGAAGCTAGAAGCTCAGCAGTCAAAAGCTGGTTCTTTTGAAAAAGCAGTGACAAAGTAGACACTTGTCTGATGAGGTCAGTCGTACAACAGGAGAAAGAAGGCACAAAGACACCAAAGTCTGCATGAAAAGCCAGGCATTTGACAGCCACAGAGGTGAAGAGACTGCGTCATCGGAGCCACTTCACCCATCGGTCTGAGAGCAGCGGAAATGGACCAAATCCTAGAAAAACATCCGTGACCTTGAGACAGTAGCGTCTACGTTGGGTTACAGCTGTTAGGGAAGTTGCAATATGAAGATTATTCCAACTTTCTCCCACAGAGAAAACACAAGAGCCAGGTGGTTTTACAGATGGGTTTTATCCAAACGTCAAACAGATTTCTTCTGTTTTGAACAGACTCCCCTAGAATATAAAAAGAGAAAAGCCCCCATCCCCTAGTGAGGTGTGAATACCTTTAAGTCCAAAATTAGACCTGGCCTTTAGAAAGGAACAAGGATTACTATAGACACTTGGAGGTCAGCAGAAAAAAGTAAATGCATCGCCCGAAAGGACAAAGAGGTTGGCTGTGACACCTGGCATGGCCTTAGAATGGAGGGAGAACAGACGTCCAATTCCAGTTATGCCTTAGGCTTTGGGCCTTTTTTTATCAGGGTTAAAATCCATACTGCCAGGCCCGGTGAAGGATCAATATATCAGAACATCATTATCAGCCACAGCAACATCATTGTCCCCATTTCAGAATCACTCAAAGTCCCAAAATGTGGAAAAGAGCAACTGTGAGCCACCCACGGCGGCCGGAAAATCCACTGCAAGGACAAAGTAGAACTGTTCCCTGGGGCTTCCAAGGCTGTCAATCAATCTCCTCTTTCTCCCGCAGAACAGCTGCTTATAGCAAAAGGAAGGACCTTATTGTGTGGCCATGTGGCTCAGTGGATTCTTATCCCGAGACTGAGCCCCAACCTCCCTGCCCAGGAGCCTTTTATACGGAAGGGGAGTGGATTCTTGGGGTTGTCTGGGGTTGGTCCGATGAGCTAGCAGGCAGGAGCATCTAGAAGCAAAAGCAAGCAATTCCACAGGGCTGCCCAGGAGGGCTGCGCAGCAGAGAGCAAACAGGCTGCAGAAGCGGTGCTTTGTCCCGGCCTCCCTGCTGGGCTGGAACTGCAGGCCATGCGGTGAGCGGCCTGACACTTAACCCTTTGCACCACCAGGGTTCCTTACTGTTAGTGATGTGGTCTTCTTTTTTTTTCTAGATTCATTTTTTACCTTTTATTTATTTCACATCTTGT